AGGGTTACTTCTATTCATCCGCCCTAAGCACACTGTGATTTTATTAAGTTTCACTGACACGTCCTCTACCTTCTTGTTGTCTGGGGCCTACGAGGAGGGTGTCAGGCCGGAATCGTTTGGAAGGAGCTGTGAATTTCAGTCTGTTTCGGGTTTGGTGCAAACACCCCAAGCAGCAGTAGAAGAGCCCGATGCTGTGGATAGACCGAGTGCCGACGACAATCGCGAAACGCGCTTTTGCGCTTGTTTTTTCATCGCAGTTTAGAATTTTTCAGCAAAAATATTAGGAATGTAAACGAAATTCAAGCTTAGACATCAAACTGAGTTGCCTTAGATAAATCTAAAATAGTCAGATGCTGAGTCAGGGTAAGTTAGCAAGCATGGATCGCCCAAATTCGGAGAGGCCAGTTGTCAGAATCCATGCCGAAGAGCAGTCCCCGAGAATTGGCGGAGCTACCATGGCACATGATCGAACGTCGACTCTTGTATGCGAGTGTGTGTACATGACCTGAATTTAAGCGTATTTGTCGCCATAAATGATACTAAGAATCAAAATGAGACATTTTATTTACCAGATTTACAATAAATATTCAAAATTGAGCTCAATTAATAGTATATTTAACAACAAGATTAGAAAACCAAACTAAACGAATAAAGCTTTTGAGTCCGAGCGAGCGCAGCGAGCAAGTGACTTAAAAGTTATACGAGTTTGGTAAAACTGCTTTTCTTACGAGATTTGTTTATACTATTTTTTCGCATTTTGTGTTAGTAGGTAATTATAAGCAAATAGTGATAGACATAAATACATTACAAATTTAGAAATTTAAAAAAAATTATAGTAGGTACTTGTGTAAGATTTCCGTAACCTAGTAATCTGACACGGCTTTGTTTATATACAGAATAACAGTTAAGTTTCATTTTTGTGAGTCGAATTGATTCTAAGTTACATATTAATTACAAAAATGAGTCTTGCTACTGAGAACAATTTAGAAATATTTGACAAAAAACTCACTAAAAACTGATGAAAGTGTAACGCTAGCATATTTTTTTGAGAAGGTAAACTATTTTTTACATGTATTTTGGTGTTTTTCATACAATGTCTTTCGTTATTTTAGGCATCCAGTTTATAGTCTACATATTTTGAAAAGTACTATACAAATAAACGGAAATATGAAAATATGGATATATCACAATATAAAAAACTACATGCCTCTTTAAAACATCAAAATGACCCATATAGTCTACGGATATGAGGAAAATAAATGATATGGTGGTGCCCGTTGAATAGCCTAGGATCTGTAAAGTTTTTCATAAAACTTGGGTGAATTTTAGTATAATATGTGCAAAACCCGCACACCATCAGGTGAGGTTTTTTAATAATTAACAATTTGCAAAAAACTGTCAAAATTTGATTATTACTAAATAAACAATAAGTTTTGCAAAAGTTAACCTACGACTTTGATATTGCATAAATAGTTGGCTTTTATAGTCCTTAATATGTGATTAAAATTTCAGACCGATTCATCCAATAGTTTTTGCAAAATTCTAAATGTTTATCCCAGAGGCATTATTTTTGCAATAACCTGACATGCAAAATTACCAAGATATTTTAATTCTGAGGGTGTCATATGAAAGAGAAACACTTCTTTTATTGGAAGAAATTATTTTATTGCAAAAAAATTGTTTTTACCACTGCAAAAACGTACCACAAAAAATATTGTCATTTTTGTCTTATAAACAATTAGAATAAATTTGTTGCCATTATATTTAGAGAGAGTATTTTTCCATATTCGTAAAGCTGGCATTTTTACACAAATTTAAAAAAAAAAGTTGCTCTACTTAATTTGTGGCAAAGTTAGACACTTTTTTTTTTAATCACAGCTACTTTGTTTATAACAATTAAGACTTCTAATAAGTGCCATTTCGAACATAAAGAGCTAAAGTTTCTATGTGAAATTTTTGAAGACGATAGCTTTGTAACAATATTTCTGTGAATGATCCAAATAATGACTTCGATACAAGATGACTGTGAGTCAGTGGAGGGGGAACCTACAAATCCACGAGCTCAAAATTTGAAATTGGTAGAGCAAGTTATATCTCATAACTTGTTGACCGATTTTGATGTTTTTTTTAATATGGGGTACCTTCTTGCGTACATCACAAATAAGCATTTTGTTAATAAATAAAAATTTAAATTAATCCAAAATATCGACATCTTTCGTAATTTTTTGTAATGGAACATTATTAGGAATGACTAAATATCAATTTTTAATAAATTAATATTGCAATTAAGTATTTTGTTTAAACATTTACAAAAAAAAAAAATCTAAATTATCAACATTTTCGGAGTTATTTTGACGGGAAGTTATAGATATAGGTTCAATTTTTTTCTTATTAATAAATTAACATTTAAATTGAATAATTGAATAATTTGTTTAAACATTAAAGCATTTTAAAATAACAATATTTAAGGTTTTTTCAGGAAGTCGTAGGAATATTAACTTTTCAAATTTGAATATTTGTATTTTTAATATATACAGGGTGTTTCAGAAAGACCTCCCGTACGACAAAAAATCAGAATTTTTTGTCGTATGTCTATCTCTTGTTTTCGAGATACAGAGCGACAAAATAAAATTTTTTCAATAGAATTTTTACGAAAATTTCCAAACTGTAATTAGCGTATTTGTTGTCCTTAAAAATCTCAGAATACCAAATTTCATAAAAATATTTCGCAGCGTTTGGAAGTTTTCGTAAATATTCTATTTAAAAAATTTTATTTTGTCGCTCTGTATCTCGAGGAGATAGACATATAGTTCATGAGACAAAAAATTCTTATTTTTTGTCGTAGTATCACCCCCTGAATTTATAGGAGGTTTTTCTGAAACACCCTGTATAACAATGTTTCCAATATTTAAATAAACAATTTTTTGTCAAACTGTTTTTTATTAACAGTGACATTACCATACTTATAGTAAAGTGACATTTCATGTGGTAAAGTGCCACGAATTTGAGTTTAGTAAATAAGCATAAACAATTCCTATTTTGAATATTTTATAAAAATCATTTGTACAACTTTGTTGAAAAGAATGTGAAACTATCCTATTGAATAAATACAAAATATTGCAAAATGTGTTCTGGCCTTAGGTGGTTCGTAGGCCCCGATTGCAGTCTTCATAAACGGCGTTTTATTAGATTTATTTTGAAGATAGCGGAATTACGGGGTGCTCTGGGGCGAAGTAAATAAAGAAATTTAATGAAATTATTTAACTTTTTGATGTATCAAATGAATAGGTCCCGCGTTAATATAAAATAAAAGCTTGATGTCGCCGCTCTGTTGCGCCGTTTAGGTAGCATATTTTTGTATTTAGAGAGTCAAGTGGGGTGTTGCCGGGCAAAGAGCTCTCAGAGGGTGGTTGATTAAAACTGCTTTATTTGATTAAATGAAATGGACGAGGAGTTAATCTCAAAATCAGTCACTGTAGACTAACGTTATTAGGTATAATTACAAATATTAACAGCAGGAGCTTAAAGCTTTTTGTTAAGTTTATTTTACGTTTTAGCTAGTCGTCTTCGAAATATCCGCTCAATCTGGGATAGGTTTTTATTAAATAAGGGGTTCAGATATTTATATGGGCTTCTTCCTTCTCAAAAGCATTCAACCTTCTTAACCACGAATTATTAATTTCTTGATGAGGGTTGCTTTCGCTGTACAGCAAGAATAAAACGCTCTCTCAACGGTACAAATAAACTATTTTTATTGAAAACTAAACTTGTGTAGAAAAGTAATGTTGACGGTTTGAGAGTTTGCTGGAGAGTGCCTGTGGTTGAAGTCGGTCGTAGGTAGCTTGGTAGTCGGTGGCAGAAGTCCCTGGTCCTGGCGCCACTCTGCAGGGGTCGGCTTCCGGGAACCCCGTGGTGCGTCCGGCGGCGTTCTTGACGTTGTGCTTAAAAATGGGTCACTTGCAACATGTGTACGCACATTGATTTAATTCTGTCATTGATCAAGCTTATTACCTCATATTTATCTGTTAATTCTCAGTTTGTTCAAATCTACACATTCAAGTCCCAAAACCACCCAGCTTCTGGTGTTCCACAAGGTTCTATCCTTGGACTTTTAATGTTTACAGTTTTTATTAATAATTTTGTCACTGATTTGAAATAAAATTAGCAAATAAATAAACAAACAGGCAAACAAACCAACCAACAAACAAACATAGCATAGATTTTTGAAGGTTAAAACATACAGGGTGACTCAGAATTTATATAAAAAAAATATTGATGTACCTACAAGGGCCTCTTACAAATACAATCTTGTAAAAATAAAATCGAAAATGATTTAAAAGTACATTTCTGCACGCCACTGGAAACTCATCCACTGTAAAACCCGACCTTACACAAGGCGAAGTATAATAACAAATGAACGAGCAAAACTTGAAAGAATTTCGGAAATAAAGAGATAAATATTCGCCATAACACACACACATATAACACACCTGCTTCACCATAAATTAAAACGATATCCATCAACTCCGAGTTGCTATAGATGTAAGCCATTTTTGACACTAACTACTAAAAATCTATTGTAAACACTATCGCAAAGACGTTAATACTAATAAATAAAAAACCATTACATTAAAAACAACAAACTATTTTAGCCTTAACAAGCCTTATTTTGGAATTGCGTGATTGTGTATTGTAAATATAATATTTATTCTAAATGGATAGCTTTTAAATAAAATGGACATCACTTTTTCTTAGTAACATCACTACTAATGGAATTTCCACCGTGGATTTCTACCGATGGAATTTCCAAAATGTTATTAATTAACTATTTTTTTTTGCATATTCTGATGGTACTGAAATTGATGCATTCATAAAGTCTACCGTACATGAACAATTTAGCCTAGGTGTAAAAAAGAATGCTTGAGGGTTTACAAACACATAATTTTTTGTGTAATCCAGTTGATTTTAAATCAATGTTGGAGGTAAATGAGACACAACAGTGAAACTGAAAATATATTTTTATTAAAACTACAAATGGTGAATTAGCATTTATTGCAAAGCATTGGGAAAATATAATTAAAATTCTTCATTTACTGGTTTTATAGTCAGTTCGTGAATCTATAAAAAAGAGACAAAAATTAGTAAGAGATTTTAGAGTTATAACTTCTACTATAGTCTGTTTGGAAATGAAAGAGAGTAATAAAACCCCGAGATAAGAACCGGCCATGGGCGTGGTAATATTTCGTTTCAGGTAATTATCGGGTAACACTAATGCTAATTCTGTGACGAAGGGAGGAATATTTATTATCTAGACGAAACTTGGGTCGACGAGATATACTGTAACAAAAGTATGGTAAGATAAAAATGTAAAAAGTTTTCGACAAGCATTTTTGGATGGACTTTCAGAGGGTTCAAGGCACCTTCAGGTAAAGGGCGAAGATTAATAGTGACACATATAGGTAGTGCCAGTGGTTTTGTAGATGGCGTTTTACGTTTATTTGAATCTAAAAATACAGGTGACTATCACGAAGACATGAACGCAGATGTTTTCGAAGAGTATTTTACACAGATGTTGGATCTTATTCCTCCGGGGTCTGTAATTGTCATGGATAATGCCAGTTACCATTCACGGCAGACCGAGCGGACGCCTATGACTGCTTGGAGGAAAGCCGATATAATTCAATAGTCATCCGGAAAAAACATTTCTTTTGAAACAAATATGGTGAAAAAGGAACTTTTGACACTTGTCGATCTTAATAAAGATCAGAAAAAATATGTTATCGATGAAATCTCCAAATAACGGTACTACGGTTACCACCTTATCACTGTGAACTTAACCCAATCGAATTAGTCTGGGCGCAGGTAAAAGGAGATGTAGCGCGAAATCATACGACGTTTAAATTAAGTGACGTGAAAATTTTGTTAAAAAATTCCTTGGAACGAGTAACTGCAGATAACTGGCAAAGATGTATACATCATGTACAAAAAGAAGAGGAGAAAATGTGGGAACTCGATAATTTAATTGACGTTACTGTGGAACCTATCGTTATCAATTTAGGAGACGAATATAATTCAGAATATTCAGAGGATGAATTTTAATATACCTACTTTTTTATTTTCTTCATTGTACATTTATACAACACTACATTTACTCACCATAATTTGAATTTTCAAAATACATATATTTTTGTGTGGAATAAAAGTCTATTCATTAAATTTAAATAAATATTTTGATAATAATATTGAATAATTTTATTTGAATTACTAAAAACCCTCTTAACCCGGTTATGATGCTTAAAGTAGCCTCATGTTTTGAAATGCTGTTTTTATATTGTTTACTTATAAGAGAAATGGACCGAGAAATTGAAGCGGCATAGACAAAGACGGATTGTCGGGGATTAAATTTTAGCTACCCGCTACAATTTAGTACAGTCCGATCGCACAAAGTTTTTTTAGAAGTACACCTCATCCTATACCGATAATACATAATATAAAAATATTGAATATAAGCACCAGTACTACATTTATTTACGATTTGCATACATAATAAGCTTTTATTACTCTCTTTCATTTCTAAACAGACTATAATAATAACAAAAGTTTTATATTTAACTTCTCGTATAATTAGTTTAGCTGATCCCATGTGTGTAATAAATAGGCGGATATATTGAAAAAGATTTTTCAATATCTTGATTCAATATTTTCAATTCAATTTTTCATTCAGTTCAATAGTTTAATTATTACTTAAAAGTAGTTATTTGGATCAATATAAAATTTTTTTTGGAAGACGAAGCTTAACAAAGCCTATTATTAAATTATTAATTTCAGTTATCAAAGCCTACTTTAAACTTTTTTAAGTTGTCAAATTTAACAAAATTAATTCGCGATTTTTTTTACTTTGTTATTGTATTCCGCACCCCTTCAATGTCGTTTGAGCTAAATTTAAATTAAAAAGACTACTATGATGTGTATCAAGTACGATCCTTTAATAAAAGTTTCCACCCCACAGCCCAAACTTTAATCCATTCTTCAGAAAATGTGAAAATTTGTTTGCTTTACTTTAAACACAAGCGCGCCATCTAGAGTATTCTTACTTGACACATTTCATAGCCATCTGTAATCTCTCTAAATGTATTTAGTCATACTTGCGCCATCTCTGTGTCAGGCCGCTAACTTATCGAACGACTCTAATATATTGCTTTTGTGAAACAACTCTCGCAGACGATTTGAATGTTTTACTGCAATTTAAAATGTACCTGTACATGGGGTGGTGTGGATAAAACATAAACAACAGCATCTGCTATATCTTCTGTTCTTAGAACGGTTTTAAAGGCCTTCGCAAGTTGGGCATCGTTTGGATCCACGTTACTGGTTTCTAAAAATTCCGTCTCTGTAGCACCTGGGCTAATACTCTGGAAAAATATCAACAATATTACTCCGTGTCAATTATTATGTATCTTTATAAAATTTTAAATAATTTCAATGACGGCAGTGCTTTATTTTTGAAAAATATACAACTGCAAATTCCGACAGGTACAGGCAGGATACGATATTTACTATTGATGTTCCTAGAGCTGTTATACAAATTACTTGTCAAATATTGTATGTATAATTTATAAAATGTTTTTTTTTTCTTTAAATAGTGACATATCTTCTATGTCGTTTTTGTCATTGAAATAGTTATTTATATACCAAGGGAGATATAGGAATGATTATGCCCGCAGGCGACAGGTTGCGACAAGTCGCCTCATCCTAGTATCTTCTGAGGAGACATATTGAAATGGCAGCAATAGTTGCTACTAGAGCCAATAAAGCCAATGAAGAATTACTGCCTCAGAAATCTAAATTACTTTATCATAAAGAATATAAACGTTTTGAGACTTGGACAAGCAGAAATTCAGTGACAGCTGTTAGTGAAACTATATTATTAGGATATTCAAGAACTGTATTACCTTTTATCACTTTAAAGAAATATTTATAATTTTTGATAATTTATATTTTTTATGTATCTTTTAGTCAGAATCATTCAGCCCTAACACTTGTGGACAAAGTATTTTATGTTGAAGACCACATTATTAGTGCGCGTAAATATAGAACAGGAAAATATCATCGATTGGAGTCTTATTTGAAGCAAATGTAATGAAAAGATATATTTACAAAAAATGTAAGATATTGACAAGAGAGGATATTTTGAAATTTATTAAATTTTTCGTGGTTTATAAAATAAATCGATTTCTAAAGCAATGGTAAAAATTATTAATTCAAGGGCAGCAACTAATAGAGTTAATTTTTTACAAATGATTCATAAATATGCTTTATGTAACTTATTCTTTAACAAGATAAAAAATAAACATTTATCACTTTTAATGATCCTTAAGAAAGTCGAGGCAGACCTGTTCTATGGACACCTATTAACCTTGAATCCAATAAACATTTTCCTGAGCGGTCATCCAAAAGAACTTACTTATTCGACAGTTGCATTTTGAGCTTTTCCTCATTTTTTATTATTGTGTAAATATTTGTTATTGATCTTTAACTAGTTTCTCTTAAAGATTGTTTGAACTTGTTATACAAAGTTAAATAAATCAAAATATTTGGAACGACTTGAAAGGAATAAAATACGCTCTGGTTGTTGCTATTCGATCCGAAAATAAGTTTATCTCCAAAACCGTTTATTTTGTCAAAATTAATGAAGAGTAACTTTTTTAAAGAAAACTCTTTCAGAGTATCTAAATTTATTTTCAAATTTTTTGCTCTATTACTTCTGGGTAACTCAAGGATCCAACCTTGGACCACTTTTTTTAAATTTAGTAATGATCCATCGCTAGCACTAAAATCTAATCATTTGGTTTTTGTCGATGATTCCTCCTGCCAATCCAAAGTTTCATTAGGCAGCTTTTCTTCAGGTATGCAATTATAAATATTAACTGATTTTGACCTTCTCTATACAGGGTGTTTGTAAATAAGTGCGAAATATTTTAGGGGGTGGTTGTCGAAGTTATTTTGTGAAAAAAGTTCATATAAACGAATGACGAAATATGGTTCGTTTCCGAGATACAGAATTTAAATTATTTATTTATTTTTATTATTTCAAAATTTGATGGTTGTATTTTGTTTAGAAATATTGACAGCAACCTACTAGATAATGTATCAACAGAAATTAAAAATACACAACTTGCAATAAAATATGTTTTATTTTATTTCTCAAAAACGGTAGATCGTAGGGAAAAAATTGAAGAGACCAATTTCATTCAGAATTGATGGCAGATTTCTAAAATAATATCAAAACGGGAGAAAGTCAGTGGCGTCCCATTTTTTTTATTAAAAAAGTTTGTGACATTCTCGTACGAACGCCACTGGTACATCTAGAAATATTTGGATCACACCAAAAAATGCACATTTATCCCTCCAAAGCGTCTTTCAAATTTCGAGTCAATATCTTTAAAACTCTTTGAAATAATTAATAAAAGTAAATAAAAAATTAAAATTTAAACACCCTGTATCTCGGAAGCGAAGCATATTTCGACCTACGTTTATATGAACTTTTTTTCACAAAATAACTTCTGGAACCACCCCGTAAATATTTCGCATTTATCTACAAACATCCTGTATGTATGTTTTCTAGAGACCTGACAATTGATGCGGAATATTCCAACTTTGTGAAAACTCACCGTAATTCTGATTTTCGACTCCAAGGAATTCAGTTCCAATCTCAGAGATTCAGTCAAAGCAGTCACAGCGAATTTCGAGGCCGGGTAGATACTGAAGCTGGTAATATTGGGCACCTTGTGCCCCGCAATGCTGTTTATATGGATTATGTGCCCGTCGACGTTGTTTTCTTTCATATTTTTTATAGCTTCTCTGGTGGCTATGCAGAGCCCGAGTACGTTCAAGTCAAGGACTTGCCTCCAGGACTCTGTGTCTCCTTCGGTCAGGTTACCGAACTGCACAATGCCGGCGTTGTTGACTAGGATGTGCACAGGTCCTAGGTTGTCCTTTACCCACTCGAACGCTCCTAGGATGTCCTCTTCTTTGGTTAGGTCCGCTTTGACGGCGTGCAGTTTTCCTGATTTTCCGATAAGTTTTTGGGAGAGTTCTTCTATCTTTTCTTTTCTTCTAGCCACCCCCACCACCTAAAAAATAAAATAATAGCGGGTCAAAGAAGCACAGTTTAAAATTTGCGTAGCGTATCAAGGGTCGGTACATTTCTTGTGAAAAAATAATAAAAAATCTTGATTTATACAGGGTTATACAGGTGTTTAAAAAGTAATTTTAGAGGGGGTACTTCCAATACATTTTTTCGATTTGAGCCTCCCCTGAGAAAACATTTAAATCTCAAAATGGCCGAAAAAAATTAGCTTTAATTTTTTTAATTAAATTTTTAGTTCATATTTGCTTAGCTTTTCCTATTGATAAAAAAAGAATTTTCAAAAATGACGATCGTTTTATTTTTTGCTCGTAAACCATTAAGTATACGAAAAAATGGGAAGAGTAAAAAAAAATTCTTAATGCAATGTACTATTAAAAGTTATTTTTCTTGTTGGAATTGGCTAACGTAGAAAAAAGTTGTGAGAGAAAAAACCAAGGGGCGCTAATTTCTTTTCATAATAATATTCAAAGACATAAACCTTAAAATTACATAGTGGTCTCCGATAGCAACTTTGACATTCTGAGCAGTTAGAAGAAAGAATAAATAATGCTTTTCATCGGATTCAAGCAACAATAAATTTCGAACAAATTACATTTTCGTTACTAAAAAGATGTCGGGCCTGTGTCCGTGGAAATGGAGGTATTTTTGAGCATTTACTCAAATAATATCATTAAAATGATGACTAATTTTATTAATTTCTTTAAGTAAGTAAAGTCAGTTAAGTAAAAGTGTTTTCACATTGATAAAGAAATATCCATAGTAATTATCTGGATTGGTATATAAGATACTTAAAAATTGCGGCGTCTTTTTATTTGCAAAATGTGATTATTGCTCTATTCTGCTAAACCCCGTTATTTAAGTAACGAGCGTTCAAATAAAAACGTGGTCGAAGTTGGCTCTGACACATTGGACGTAGGGAGTAGTTTATAGCGACCAACTTAACCTCATTTCTCAACAAGCTGTATAGCAGCTGTCAGTTTCAATAACGTTAATGACTATATAACTTTATTTTAAAGAATAATCGTGATAACAATAACAAACAATTATTAAAGGAGCTGCGGAAAGTGTCCCCCTCCTTGTTATAACAATAAATTAAAGCAGCTGCTGAAAGTGTCCCCCTCCTTGTTCCAAGCACTTTTCACACCTGTTCCTCAAAGAATTAAAGACATTTTCTAAGATGCTCGGGGTATTGTTAATTTCACGAATCTTGTCTATAAGTCGAGCCTGCAGATGGTTTAAATCAGGAATAGGCAGTTCAAAAATAGTGTTTTTAAGGTAAGGCCACAAAAAGAAATCACACGGCGTAATATCACATGACCTCGGTGGAAATTCATGTTCAGCATTGAGACTTATTAGTCGATTTTGGAAAACTTCCCNGGGCATTGCCTTAGAAGAACCTCGGCAACTATCTTAGTTGATAATGGTGGAGACATTACAACCCTAAAGCGACATGGTGGATGGAAATCTACCAGCGTCGCTGAAGGATACATTGAAGATTCTGTAAACAATAAGAAACAGATAGCGATGAAAATATTAAACCCATTAGAGTATAATGAACCAAGTACATCAAGCGAAACTGTAAATATTGATCCTGAAAATAATTTAATCGAAGACTTTTCTGTTAATAATGGTACAATTGTTAACACTGAAACTGAGAACCTTATTACAAGTAACGTATTCAACGACAGAACTGTAAACTTTGAAAAAAAGACAGCCAGCAGCGCTTTAAATATCAACAACTGTACCATACAAAATTGCACATTTAATATTCATGTTAATAAATAAAGTTTGATGATAGACATGTAGGTAATTTAGATGTTTATTCGTTTAATTCAAATTAAAGAAAAATAATTGTTACATTTGTTTTTTTATTCATGAATAAAGTGGTTAAAACTGTCATGTTTAATTAATCAATAAAATGTATAAAATGTATAAAATAAATAGTATTACCTACCTACTGATTTTATTTTGTGCTGAGATTGAACATCGCGTTATCCGCTATAAATTTTCAAAATTAGTAATTTTTTATATTCACGCTTGAAGAAAAAATAGTATATGTCACTCGGAGTGGAAGGCTCATTATGTGTTTTGCCCAATTTGCTCAGCCTCGGCTAACGCCTCGGCGAGCAAACTTTTGGGCTCAACACATAATGATCGCCTTCTACTCCTAGTAACATAATATACTATTATACAGGGTTATACAGGTGTTTAAAAAGTAATTTTAGAGGGGGTACTTCCAATACATTTTTTCGATTTGAGCCCCCCCTGAGAAAACATTCAAATCTCAAAATGGCCGAAAAAAATTAGCTTTCATTTTTTTAATTAAATTTTTAGTTCATATTTGCTTAGCTTTTCCTATTGATAAAAAAGAATTTTCAAAAATGACGATCGTTTTTGGTAACTGTTATACTAATAATCGGCAAGGAAAAATAATTTATTTTTTGCTCGTAAACCATTAAGTATACGAAAAAATGGGAAGAGTAAAAAAAATTTCTTAATGAAATGTACTATTAAATGTTATTTTTCTTGTTGGAATTGGCTAACGTAGAAAAAAGTTGTGAGAGAAAGCTAATTCTTTCATTCAGACATAAACCTTAAAATTACATAGTGGTCTCCGATAGCAACTTTGACATTCTGAGCAGTTAGAAGAAAGAATAAATAATGCTTTTCATCAGATTCAAGCAACAATAAATTTCGAACAAATTACATTTTCGTTACTAAAATGATGTCGGGCCTGTGTCCGTGGAAATGGAGGTATTTTTGAGCATTTACTCAAATAAAATCATTAAAATGATGACTAATGTTATTAATTTCTTTAAGTAAGTAAAGTCAGTTAAGTAAAAGTGTTTTCACACTGATAAAGAAAGAAAGAGATATCCATAGTAATTATCTGGATTGGTATATAGATACTTAAAAATTGTGGCGTCTTTTTATTTGCAAAATGTGATTATTGTTCTATTCTGCTAAACCCCGTTATTTAAGTATTTCTTGAATTCTCGAACAACTTTGTTGTATAGAGTTTTTAACGAAAACAAAAATTAAAGGTTCATTGCTTAGAGAAAATTTCTCATTTTGTCCAGAAAATTTCTTTATTCGAATAAATAACCGAATGATTAGTGCTTGTCATTTGCACAAAATTGAAAGACGAGTCCAAAAATATCATGGTTGTTACGGTAAAACAGTGGCATACTATTTTATTTAGAAAAATATGCCACCGATACCCTGTATCTCCGTCACTGGAGCATGTAAATTTTAGGAAAAGCCCTCAGATTTTGGACAATGTTTATTTAAATACATGTGTCCAATTTCAAATTATTTCATCTACTAGTTTTTAAATTATTAAAAAAAATGTAATATATTTTTTGAAGTTACACCCTATATCCTTTTAACGAAGCCTAGACAAAAACGTTATAGGAAAGACCCCTTAAGATTCACCAAAAAATAGGAGGTTTCATTTTTGTTTCCATTTGTGAATCACCCTCTGTGACTATATTTTTACATATGTTACATATGTTTATTTTATATTGTTTTAATATAACTTTGTTTAGATTTTAACAGCTCAGATTTTTTGTGTTAATATATTAATTAAGCATCTTTTCAAAAGTTTTGTTGTCTACTGTAAAAACAAAATGAAAGCACAATAACTGTTACGCAATTTGCTCGAAAATCTAAGAAAATACTAAAATTTGACAATAGTCTATTTTTTTCATAAATGTGGTTTTAAAAAAATATTCAGAGATTTTCGTAAAATGTCAGGCGTAGGGGTTATGTTTTAGGAAAGGAGACATGCAGATTTGAACTTTTTCGAATCAAAGTTTAAAAAACTTATTTGCTTATTCTTATTTGAGGCGAGAAATTTATTCACATCGTCTTAGGTCACTCTATACATACGATATCTGTTCAGAAAATGATAGAAATTTATTTTTTTAAAACTTTATTGTTAATTTTACACATAATTGGTCCTTGTCTCCTTCAAAGTACTCTCCTCCCCTATACACATGCTTTTCCCAGGGTTGTAAAACTGTTTCACCTTGAGGCAAGAATTCAAAATGCATAATTCCATTAATGTCGAAAAAAACAGTGAGCAGCACTTTGACATTAGATCGAGACTGACGTGCTTTCTTGGGGCGTGGAGATCCTTTGCTAATCCATTGTGATGATTGAACTTTTGTCTCAATGTCATAGCCGTAAACCTAGCTTTCGTCTCCCGTTATGATCCTTTGAACGAATATTTCATCATCATTGGATTGTTCAAGGAATAGGCCTCTTGCAGAAAAAAATATTTTAATAGTTTTTGTATCTACACTGAATACTACAAACAATGTGTAAAGGTTTTGTTATATTAATTTATTTTTAAAAAGTTATTAGATATTAAAGTTTTAATCGGTTCGCTTCGCGCTCAAACGCCATGGACTGGGATGTCGATACGTTGACGTCATCGGTAAGTAAACGGCAAGCGCGACATATACAATAACGCGTTTCGATATACTGTAAATTTGTGAAGTTAAACATATAATAACTATGGCAAATCCTTCTAAACCATATAGCCCAGACAGTATCTATTTCAAAAAGTCCATATTTGGGTAAATCGTATATCCACGGAGATTTTTGACTTTTTGACTTTTCTATTTTGAATTTTTCTATGAGCATAAAAAAACGTGGGCTTAACTTTTGGCGGCATAATATGTTAAAAAAATTCGAAAAATGTCATATTTTTCTTCTTATTTAATTATGTAGCTTTTCAAGAGTTCATTTTAGGCGAAAATGGAAGAGGAAAGAAATGTTTGTAATTAAATTTTTTACAAAACATGACTAATTACAAATCGAATGAATTATGATTATAATTGTAAAAATCGAAAAAATCGCCAAATGTGGGGTTAAAAAACATTACTTTTGAGGTATTTAAATTGGGTTGGGACTTTCATACTTGGCTCAAGAAAACTTCAAGTTATATAAAATCATCACATCAAATTTCATCAAAATCGATTAGATAGATTTTGCATAATAATTTTGCAATCCATATTTTGAAAAAAATTTGCAAATTTTCAAAATTTTGCACAGCAAAAACCAAGGCCCTTAGATACTTGAAAATTTAATCACATATAGAAGGGCTCTCAAGCTTTCAAAATTCGAATCCGTCAGTTAGGACAGCATAGAAAAATGTTCATTTCTAGTAATATTTGAAAGCAAAAAAGCCAAAAATCTCCGTGGATATAGGATTCACACAAACCAAAACAGATACCGCCTAGTCTAATACTATTACTGGTGCATTGTACCTATGTGTGAATATACATTAGTAAAAACGCCAGAAAAAAATGTATTTTAAAATAAATTCTGCAATTTCTCTGGATAGTCAATCGGCGATTTGCATACACCAGATCTTAGACTTTCTTAACGTGGGGGTCATCAGTTGAAGTCGAATCCGAGAACATGTGGTTACAGAGGGGGTTATGCGCAAGGCAATGCTGCAAACCGCATATCACTAAATATCTCCATTAGCGCCTAATTAAAAAAATTCGGTTATTTTCTGAACAGACCTCGTATAATAATATCAAATTGCATTGTTTGATCTTTCATATTTATGCTAGTAAATATTTGAACTAATTTAAACGCTTAGGAATTAGATTCACAGAAAAATCATTGGAACTCTTCTGCCCCTCTTACCTTGTTTAGTGGTTACGTTGTACTATTCAGTCTGTGTAAATATCTACTTTTTAGAACTCAGAAAGTGAATATTGAACCAAATTGTTTCATTCGTTCATTACATATATGTATAACTGATGATTCTATGCGTATTAGTTTTGTGTGTACAGAATTTGTAATGAGTAACATTCGTTAATACTAAGTAATAAAAAAGGCAATCAAGCATTTCCGTCTCCAAAGAGATCGATAATAGATAAATTAATTAATACGTTTTCAATTACCATCACTAATTTCTGACATTGACTTTCACTGGAATTGGTAAATAACTGGTACAAGGTCTTCAATCTTCGTGATATGCCTTAGGTTATATAATTCTGGTGGATATTTAAGCTTAAAATTTATAAAGATTGACATTCAAAATATAAATGGAATGTGTATTTTGCATTACATTTTGGCTAGTTGTTGTGTCTCTTTCAATTTTTTTAGTAATGATTTTTAGACAGATTGATCCATTTTCTAGAAATGAAATTTTCTAGAACTGAACTTTGAAAAAGTCAAAATGTATTTCGCCGTAATACGTCGACAATTTCAGCTTAACTTATGACCTTACATTGTATTGACGTGGGAGATAATTCTGTTTGAATATTTTATGATCTTAATAGGGTATTCGATTGCGTCGAACACAAGTTATTGATTTCTAAATCAACCGTTATAGAGACGTCTTTAAATTGAGTAGCCACATTTCTTCAAAGTGTACAACATGATGTGAATTTGCAGCATTTTGAGCAATAAGTAGTGAAAAATGTAAGATCAGAGTGGTTAGAAGTAAATGTAGGAGTTACCCAATAATTCATTTTGGGTCCTCTGCTTTTTCTTTTATACATAAATGATATTGGACACACGTCCCATTATTTATGCAGATATCATATCCGTAATAATTTCTAGCATATTGGGTGAATTAATTTATCAGAACTGTAAATATATCTCGACTTTGTCAGATGATTATTTTTCTCAAATAAAAAACATACTCTTGTCAATTCTCTTTGCAGTAAAATTGTTAAATAAACAAAATTTAAAGTTGTAATTGCACTGTTTCTTTCTTGCTAATAATCGATTGTTCCTAATTTCGTTTATCAGTGGAGTTGAAAAAAACTTTTAAACAATTTTTTTATGCATTTTCAAATTTAAATGCCTTTTTGTTGAAAACAATTGGCTTTAGAGATATTAAAGGTATACCTTTTTTAAGCAGAAAAGGTGTGGGAAAAGATTTTTCCAGCCCAAAGTGAAATACACCGTGGCACAAACAAATTTTGGCAGTCTAAATTCGTCCTAATGGTAGCTTGTGATGCCCTCTAGAAGATACAACGAAATCGCCGATAAATTCGAATTTCTCATCCCAAAAAGTCCCCGGATACGAAATTTCACGAAATTAGCTCGAGCTAGTCGAAAGATATTAAAGAAAATGTTTTGTAGACGTACTGTGTCTGGTGGAGCACAGTACAGACTCTTTAGAGACACCCTGTATAACTGTAGGTCAATAGGCAACATACCAAAAAATATAACTTATACCTTATAGGGTTGGAAACCATCTACAGACCAGGGTCCCACTTACCCCTTTAAATCGCACATTTTTCTCTTCAATATTTTTGCCTCAATTTTGTTACCGTGGGTTTTTGCGGTCGCTGATTACGAATCTGAGGTCCGAATCCGAAAATTCCCGAATCGGAAACGCTTTCAAAATTTGAAAAATCGGAAAATCGGCCTATTTTTAAAAATTCATTTCTCCGTCATTTTTTAAGTTGTAAAGTAGTGAAAGTAGTAAGTTGAGTAATAGTGAACAATTGCAATTAGAATTTCAAAATTCAAATTGCAATTGTGGAAAAACTAATGGTTCGACAGTGTCTGCTTTGTGCACACTTAAAGTACATATAATTCACTACTTTTGTACACAGGGTCAGCTCTACTACTTAAAAAATGCCGGAGTAATGAGTTTTTTAAAATACGCTAAATTTTCCGATTTTTCCGGGTTTTCTCCGTTTCCAATTATTCGATCGGATCAAACGACCTCTCGTTTTATTCGTATTTCCATTCTCTACAAATTGCTTCGTTAGTTTAGGTTTTATAAACAAAAAAACTAAAAAAAAAATGCGTTTTTTTTTTGTATTAAAATATTTATCAAAAATTAATTAATGGTAAATTGAAGTATAGGAAACACATAATCATACAGCGTGTCCCAAAAGTATGGAAACAGATTTAGGATTTTCTTCTGGCTATTCAAAGTTGACCCTAGATTTGACCTTGACCTTCAAGGTAAAGTTAATTTTTTCAAATGGGATGCCCTACTTTTGACCCCGGAAATGAAAAGAGCGGAAAATTTTACGTTCAGATATGTCCTTGACCATTTTCCGAATTTGACCTCTGATGGTCATTAAAGGTCAAATCAAGGTCACGCATGGTTTGGCGCGCTGTCTTGAAAACAACGGGTTGCAAAAAAAATGACCATAACTAACGTTGTAGGATTTTTCCCTGGCTATCTGACGGTGACCCTTGATTTGACCGTGACCTTCACCTTCAAAAACCGCACTATATCAATTTTGGCAAAAATCGGTAGATTTTTTAAATCGCGTCCGCCATCTTGGATCCGCCATCTTGGACTAAAATTCCTCAAAAACAGATTTCAGATTCGTAGTCAGCGACCCCAAAAACCCCCCTATACCAAATTTGGCGTAAATCGGTTAATTTTTTGGAATCGCGTCCGCCATCTTGGATCCGCCATCTTGGAAAATGGTCAAGGACATATCTGAACGTAAAATTTTCCGCTCTTTTCATTTCCGGGGTCAAAAGTAGGGCATCCCATTTGAAAAAATTAACTTGACCTTGAAATAACCTTGAAGGTCAAGGTCAAATCTAGGGTTACCATTGAATAGTCAGAAAAAAATCCTAAATCATTTGTCCGAATCATTTTTTCGAAAGTTACTGTGGTACACGTTGCATATCTACAGACTGTCTTTTACATGATGGCACAGTCCGTTTGCTACTAGTATTTCTGTCACAAAATCACTGATTTAATGCTCTATTGACTGGCCTGTTATGAATGTTTAAAAAATTGAGTGATTCGTGACACTCTCTACAACTATAAAAATAAAACTTAAGGTTCATATCAATATTACGAGTTTGTTTAAAAAAATTTTTAAAATGTTTACAATATGTAATTTTGTTGTATCTTCGCGTTAATAGAATGTTCAAATTAAAGTTTTCCTACAATGTATAACGTCCAGTAGAACGCATTTTAACCATTATGCTTAGACGCAGACGATTAGGCACGTTTTTACAGTTACAGTACTGCTAGTACCTATATTATAATAGGTATAGTATAATAGGTATGTTATAAAATATTTGTAAAATTACAGGCTTTTTTCACGCAATTATTTTTTTATTTTACTGTTGAAATTTATCTTATGTCACCCTTGTTATGGAAATAAGGGATTTTGTTGGAAGTCCCATGCAAATAATTGTATTTCTTCGTCCAATTTTTTGTTGTCCCAACCTCATTGTAAATGATTTACCGTATGCATAAGTACATGCATTTCAGAACAGCTGTTAATTTTTCATCTCCACATTTTAATATTAAATTCAAACCTGCAATCCATTTTCCACGAGTTTCTCGCATATGGCTGCTCCTATTCCAGCACTAGCACCAGTCACTATCGCCACTTTCCCTACCCAACGGTCCATCGACAGCACCATTTTTATTTTAACACCTTGTTTTTGTTTTAAAAGGGAATTCTATACCGCGTATTGTAGCCACTTCGGTAGTACGGTTAAAATAGCGATCGTTATATACATTCTCCCACTACGTATTGCATCATTTCTTTGTCTTTCAAGGAAAAAAGAATTCTTTAAGTAGGGAGTAAACGGAATACAATAGATGCACTTACAACAGATAATGACTTGGACGAGATAAACATCAATTAAGGTCGTTAAATGCATTTTTTATTTAAATAACTGGTATGACTTTGTAATAAGTGTAATAAGTAATATTACACCAGGAAAATTAGCGAAAATAAAAGAGAAACTCGGAAAAAGTCCTATCCGCGATATTGTAAAATTGTCTAAAGGAACATAATGCAACACATCTCTCATCTCGTGAGTCAAAAACTTTTATTAGCTAACTTTTCTATTGAAACAAATAGGTGAGGAAAACAGATTTTTCACTTTGCAGAGAAAACCATCAATTTTAGCGAAAAGTGACTCACAGACAGCTTGTAGGGAGTAAAATTATCTACAAAATGAGACTGGTTAAATTAAAATCGGTTAATAAACAAAAAAGTTATTGCAAAAAAACAAGAAAAGCGCCCATTTTTTAATTTGTTTATAACTATCGCATTTATTGTTAAAATTTTATAAAACCTATGACAAGTTGAGGGTTTTGTCATACTTCAAAAGTGTGCCAAAAGTGGGCGCTGTAGGTGCAATAGTTTTCGCACAATTCTATTTGTTTATAGCGGAGGCTCCAAAAGTTATGAACTTTAAGCCTCTGTACAG